TAAACAGATTTTAATCCCAACACCAAACCGTTATTTTTAACACCTCGATACGTGCTTCAATCACCAAGTGATCATCTTCTAGAGGAAGATTAAACTAAATTTAGTTCACCAAGTGATCATCTTCAAGAGGAAGATTAAACTAAATTTAGTATAACCTCCTCTTCAAGAGGAAGATTAAACTAAATTTAGTTTAACCTTCCTCTTGAAGATGATCATTTGGTGATTGAAACACGTATCGAGGTGTTAAAAATAACGGTTTCCTGTTGGGATTAAACTCCAGTAATATTAATTACTATACCAAATTTCCAAACAGTGCATCACAAGTATGGTCTCTGAAATTAACCCTTACATAGGAAATAATTGGTGATCAACTCTATACATGAAGTAGTACCGTATTCTGCTCTTGAAATTAATTTCAGCAGTTGAAAAGAAACCTAATGACACATCCACCATTATATGTTTTTGCCGCAAGAAAGAACCATTATCATATACTCCATATAGTTTGTAAAGCCTCCGGTGAAGGTAGTTTTGCTGAATACATGAATAATTCGTTTCAATGAAGTAGTCAATATATGACTTTATCTGTTAAAAAAAAATCTGTTTGAAATCTGTTTTTCCGTTAACCAGCTGTCGCACCCCTACGAACGACAACCCTCAGAAGTCGAAACTTGTGCGAGCTAAGGATTAACGAGATCTTACCTTTTAACGTGTTGGACGATAGCAAGTGAAAATTGATCGTTGAGACTAGGGCTTGAACCACCGACCAACACGGCAGTCAATTCGAGTGAGTGAACAAAGCAGCCACGTCGAACCGCCTGGGTACCGATCGACCATCATAGAAAAAAAACTGAAAATCATCCCTGATGATACACTCTATATGGTTTGTAAGTCGTCTAGTGAGGGTTGGTGGGGGTAGTTTCTGTGAATAATTAAATAACTTGTTTCAGTGAAATAATACCGCATTCTTTTTTTTTTCAGTATATTATGTTTTTGCCGCAAGAAAGAACCATGATGATTAATTCCATATAGTCAGGGAGGATGGTTGGTGGGAGATAGTTTCACTGAATAATCGTTCAATTAACCTTCCTAAATGACATTGACTATATAATTGTATATTTAAGGATTTGTTTGTAATCGGTTTACTTGAGAATGGTTTAATAAACCGAAACCAGTCGTAACAAATAAAAATCTTAGTAGAAATTAGACAAAAGTTATTTTCTCTATCCTACATTTACTTATATTTAGAAAGGTTTCTTGGGTGACAGGATCAAATTATCGCAGAAAAACAAATGTTTTCTTGCCAACGTTTCGAATTCAATAGAATTCTTCTTCAGGACTCCGTAACAATTAATTTTGTAAAACAAACCTGCCATTAACTAAATAACTGTTGTCGTTTTTCACTGTTGTAAGTAATAATGAAATTTTAACAAAACTACTCACCGAAAAGGAGTTTTTTCCACGTTGAAACTATAACTGAATTTGAATCTCATCAGATATACATGAGAAATAAAAAACAAATATTTGAAACCAACCCAACACGTTGTGATGAAGCAAACGAACGGCTTTATCTATAATTTTAGTACCGGTTTTCATAATGGTAATGAAGAATTAGACTAGATATAATTTTAGTATCGGTTTTCATAGTGGTAATGAAGAATTAGACTAGAAAAAAAATCGGTATTTTACTGATAAATTTGAAATATGCAATATTGAGGCCTTCGACATCCCTTCTAGTGTTGACATTAACGTGTTTGAGGATATGAATCATTACTCTCAAAAGTCTGTAGATAAAAATGGTTGAACATCCAGAATCGTCGGATGTTCAAAATAAAAAATGTGCCCATGCTTTCTTTCGTGATTAACAAGGGATGTAGATTTCTTGGTATTACGTTTTCAAGAATCTCTCATGTGTTCAGAAACTCGTGTTTTGATATTACGTCCGGTTTGGCCAACACATTATTTGGGACAGTTCACACAGTTCGATTTGTGAACTATGATAGACTGTTTATCTAGTGGTGTTTTCTGTTTGGAGAAAAAATAGTTTCCAAAAGTATGGTAACTGGCAATTACAATTTCCGCAAAATACCACAAAATATCATAAAATTCCATATGTGGAACATTTATCTGAAAAACTTGTCCGATTACTTATTAACAAACAAATTAAAGTGGTCTTTTCAAATGAGAATACTTTTGGAAAATATTGTTTTCAAACAGAAAACTAAAACACCACTTGATATATGAGTCAACATAGTTTACAAATTGAACTATGGAAACTGTCGCAAATGCTATGTTGGCCAAACCGGACGTTATCTCAAAACACAAGTTTTTGAACATAGAACAAAGGCACATTTTCTTTTTTCGAAAATTGGACGATTCTAGATGTCCAATATTTATCTGAAAGACTTTTGAGCAAAATGATTCATATCCTCAAACTCTAAAACACATACGTCAACACTAAAAGGAATGTAGATGGCCTCAACAATTAAGAAATTATTCGACTTAGATAATGATTAATATGAATCAGATGAACTATCTCCGAAAAGATTACATAACGTGTACTTTTCGTCGCTTTGCGTCTGCGACCACAAACTTTCAAGATAATTTTTTGTTAACCATGATAAATCCATTGTATCCGTTAATCTGCCTATTCAGGTTCGGTTCATTTCGATGAGGATGTTAGTAATAAGTACATACATGGTACAATCACATAACGTTATTATTATGTATTGAGGGAGAGGTGGGTATGTAATCTTTTCAGAGGAGATTGTTCATATAATTAACATCATCAGGTAAGTCGATTGAATTCTTAATTATATTTCACATTTTTTTTTAGCAACTATTTTGCCTAGTGATACTTGAGGAATGAACATATTAGTTATTGAGGTATAACTAGAATAGTTCTTTCTAGCAATCAATTTTATTATTGAATTGTTACTTTATTATATCAGTGTAACCAAATTATAATAAATTATTCAACAAACAACAAATATAGAAAGTATAAAAATACACTTTTCTTTCGTTTCAACTTTATTATTAAATTGTTACTTTATTATATTAGTGTAACCAAATTATAATGATTCAACAAACAACAAATATAGAAAGTATGAAAATACACTTTTCTTTCTTTTCAACTAATAGCTACAATAACATAAAAGATTAACAAACAACTGAACATTCAACTTTAGATTTAACTCGGACAACGAATTTTAAATATAGCAATTATTTTAAATTTGGAGTCTGTCCCAATGATTCGCTTATGAACGGTATCCCCCAATCTATCAGCCTGTTATAGAATCCATTAAATACAGTTTCTACATTCACACCTAGTCGTGAATCGCTGAAGATGTCAATGCGTGCCTAATGCTATAAACTTTAAAAATGCTGACATCTATACTACTCTCACATAAAATGTTCTCAAGCCATCTACTTAATGTTTGTGGTGTAGCGGATTTGTGTGGTTTTCTAATAGTAATAAGAAGTTTACTTTCAGTCTTTGGTCTATTATTCTCAGTTTAATCAACATAATACAAAAAGTAGAGGCAACACATAATTCAGGTTTTTGTATAAAGTTAGGGAATACTGGTTGGCAAATATTTATTATTGGTGTTTTCAGATACAGGTATACATATTACCTCAAAATATATGAAAGATAATTTTGATTTATTCTCTGCTTTGGTGTGAGAGCTACTAAGGCAATCAGATTTGATAGAAAGTTGATCTAGACTAAAAGATTCCAAGGAATATCGACACGAGCATATCGACACAGTCAAGTGGAAGTTACAGTGCGGTACGCGAAGCGATCTAGTAAGGCTATAGACATTCGAATAATAGTTGAAGTTTTAGTTGAAGTGTTTGTTGTATTTAAAGTGAAATAAATTTGAGTTTGATTATTCAGTGTAGTCAATTATTGAAATGAGAATTTGGTACTATTCCTGTTGGAATGAGTCATTCGATTGGTCGAAAAAACTATCACCTACCAACCTTCACCTGAGGCTTTACAAAGTATATGTAGTGTATCATCAAAATCATTTCTTGAGATGAAAACATATAATAAAATAAGAATTCGGTACTATTTAACTGAAACGGATTATTCGATTATTCAAAAAAACTACCTGCCACCAACCCTCACCTGAGGCTTACAAACTATGTGGAGTGTATCATCATGGTTCTCTTTTGTGGCAAAAACACTTTATAAATTAAGGAAGCGATACTATTTCACAGAAACGAGTTATTGTTATTTAGGTAACTACCCCTATACCAAACCCCCTCATGAGGCTTACAAACTATGGGAAATGTGTCATCAGAAATATATTTCAAAAGCAGAATGTGGTACCATTTCATATATAAAATCCATCACAAATTCTTTTCCATAAAAGGGTTAATTTCAAGTTTTTTACAACTCCTTGCTAACAGGTCTCTGGGTGGATTGCTTAATTGCATTTTTTCATGGAGTTGAATAACATTTCACTGATGTTTCCAAATTATTTTGTTGAAAAAAAGCAAAAATTAGGGTAACCTACTTTTTTGACGTGTTTGTGTATAACTTTACGTTAGTTTTTTGAAAGTAGAGGTAACAAATTGATTTCGGCCTTGATATTGAGAAAAACCTAGTTTACATAATTTATTTCTAAGGTAAAATAATACTGCCACTATAAATAAATAAAATAACATGAGATATTTCAAAATAGGAATGGATAACAATATTTACAGTCATACATTGACAGTGCAAAACAGTACGAAAAATAAGAAATAAAACTTCCAATGTTTTTATACCACTTGTATTTGTAACTAATGTTACTGCAGTTTCGTCATATGAGGGCAATAAACAATAAGGTCAATGTCTCCCATTAACGTATTAGGACAAAATGTCCTTATAGGAGGAAACTGCAGAAGTGTTAGTTACAAATACAAGTGATAAGAAAACATAGGGAGGTTTATTCTAATTTTTCATGATGATCCCATACCACATAGTAACATCCATCAATTAATTGTATACTTACACAAACTCACCTAAAGTATCGCAAAATTCTCAAATAGTCCTCTTGAATTCTAGTTACAGCATCTCCTACAAAGACAACTTTATGCTTTTTCAAGTCTTCATATCCAAAGAAGTAATCATAAACAGATCCTTCCAATCCCAAAAACATTGAATTTATTGTCAAATCACGACGAAGGGCGTCCAACATCCAATCTGTTGTAAACTGAACTTTGGCATGTCTACCATCAGTCACAACGTCAATACGAAGAGTAGTCACCTCAAAGTTCTCCTTATCATTTATTCTGGGAGTTATCGTACCATGTTTCTCACCATTCATATTTATTAGGCGCACGTTTTCTGCTGTAAACATTTCCTTCATTTGAGAAGGCGTAGCAGTTGTTGCAAAATCAAGGTCCTTTGGCTTCATTCCCATCAAAAGATCTCTTACAGCCCCTCCAGCAATTCGAATTTCATACCCATATTCTTTAAAAATAGACACTAAAGATCGTAATTCATCATTAAATATTGAATGAAATTCAGGGGTATCCAGTTTCATAATAACAGGATTTTCTCTTGACATTGGTAAAGCCATTTTTTTGAGAAAACTGATTCTTTCTTCATTTGTCAAATTCAACAGCTATAATGAATAACTTTGAAAAAAAAATCATTAATGCAGTTTATTACCTACTTTGGTAGAATGAAATCGTTTCAAAAAATATACGGACTGTCCGAAAATGTGTTTGGTACGAAAAATCATTTCAAATTTCAACTCATTTTAATCATGGACATTTTCTGCATCATTGATTATGATTAGACATATTGTATTACTTCTAAATATATTCCACCTGCAAATCACACAACGTCTTGGTCACTGCGTCACAACATCATGTGACAAATGAAATCCCAAAATTTTCATATGGAAATATGCAACACGTAAAACATCGTGACGTTGATTCTAACGTTAAGTGTATGAGTAACGTAAAGGCCAAGTGGTGAATCTCTTCATCTTTTTTTAAATATTGGAATTAATGTTCTCTCTTCTATGGACAGATCATACATACTGATCATAATTTTCATAAAAATAGGTTATATAAATAACAATTCGTCTTCTTCCTTGGATTTTATGTGCTTTTACTGGTGAGTTTTTACCCAAGATCTACATGCAAATAACTTCCTGTCCTTCAGTTTTGGCTACGGTTGGACTGGCACCAGTCTCGCCAAAAGACTTTATCGTATTCTTTCTTCTGCAATGACTTCTATGATTTCTGCTGTCCGCTATATTGAGTCTTAACTTCACTGGTTTTTATTTCAGTTGTGCTATTAAAGTTATGTTAGTATAAGGTTAGACATCACCACATAGGTAAAGACTTCTCGTTTCCGTGCATTGGAGAAGCATACCGCAGATTCATACGTTTTACCGCGGACATAGTAACACAAAGACATGGCAAGATGGCAAGTTGTTCTGGCCATTAGAAAGAGACATTGACCCTAAAAAGGAATTAATGCCGTGGGTTTAGGGATGAGCATCGATAGCCGACTTTTCAAAAAATCGATGTTTTGATTCGATGTCAGTGGTTTTTGCCATCGATGGTAAATGATCGATGTTATTCGTACATCGATGGTTTTGAACTACCATCGATATTTTTGTACAGTGATTGTATCTTTGTATATAGACTATGTACAATGATTGTATATATAATTCAGTGACGGAATGATCAAAATAAAAAATAATAAATATTCGATTATTGCAATAATCTATATTTATGTTTTTTAATTTCCATTGCCTCTCTATATACTCGTGGATAGTAATTTGGAGTTTTATCGAGTATTACTGCATCTTCGAATGAGATAATGTGAGTGGTTTCTTCATTGAGAACATGTTCGGCTACAGCTGATTTGTCAGTTTATGCGATCGGACACTGTCAGAAGATGAGTGCGACTTGCCTACTCGCCAAAAGTGGAAACTTTGGCGAGTAGGCATAGTTCCAGCCAAGGTACCCCACGAGGATATCATTTTTACTATCGAATCAGGTATTTGTACTTTACCTTAGGACATTGTTTAGGAAATTTGCATAGAGACGTCAAGGAATCTAATGCTCGCAATATCACCCAAGGCCAACACAACACGATAGCAACGAGAGGCATTGAAAGATCTCAATATAGGTAAGAATTACCTGCTGACGAAAGAGATGTTACCGTAGAGATGAACACCAAAAATTATAACCAGAAAATTATCGCTTTACTCAATCCAGGGACATATTGAAGACTAAGTCGGGACCTGACCTCCGGGATATTAAAAAAAAAGTCTTCCTATCCGTTCATCAAGTTTCGGAGAGAACACGAAAAAGGTTATACAAAAATCCGAAACCTTTTCGCCACATATATATGGCTTACCAAAAATTCATAAAGAGAATGTGCCACTTAGCTATTATGAATGCCATAGTTTCACCAACTTATGAGCTGTCCAAATGACAACCCTATTGCAACCATTTATAGAGTCATTTATTAAGGACTCGGGACACTTCATCGAAAAAGAGTAGAGATATGGAGTTAGGTCCTGAAGAAACACCAAAGTGCTTCGTCGTGGTCTTCTCATACACGATGGTTCCAATCAAAGACACGATAAGGCTAATTAGCGAAGTATTCCCAACAGATATAACCGCCCTCTTCGCTCATTGTTTATCATCAATTCATACCAACAAACGGATGGTACCACAATGGGCAGTCCATCAAGTCCAGCGCTTGCAAACTTTTTCATGGAAAATTTCGAACAACCACCCTTAGAGCAAGTGACCGTGAAACCATATTGTTGGCTGTGTTATGTTGATGACAAGTGTGTGGTATGGCAAGATTGTGAATAGACACTAAACGATTTTCTATTATATCTAAACTTTTTCGGCCGAAAAATCCAATTCACAATGGAACGAGAAACCCAAGGAACTCTATCCTTCTTGAATGTTCTCCTGAACAGACGAGAATAAGGTGGTACATTAGGTCACAGAGTGTACAGGAAACCAACACACACAGACAGGTACCACCAGCCACAACAAAAGAGAGGGGTAATCAAAACTTTGGTTGAGAGAGCACAATGTATCTGTAAACCTGAGGAACTCACAATGCCTTCAAAGGGAATGGGTACAGCGAAAGAGAATTCGAGCGGGCCATATGACTCAGGAGGAGGAATGCCAAAAGTAACCCCAGCTAGGTTAGTCAGGGGGAAAGCTTTCCTTCCCTAGGTTGAACATGTTCCAGACCGAATTAGGAGAATATCAAAAACTACCAGAGAAATTCTAAGATCAGCTAAGAATCCCATAGAACCTTTAGGAACACCCGATGACTTGTAGCTACGGGTTGGTCTACAATGGAACCACAAAAAGAAGTGTAGGTACTCGTCTCTCTGAACACAAGAGGAATTGCCGACTCGGGCAAACTGACATATCAGCTGTAGCCGAACATGCTCTCAACAAACAAGGCACTCACTTTATCTCATTCGAAGATACTCTAATACTCGATAAACCTCAAAATTACTATCCAAAAGTATATAGAGAGGCAACAGAAATTAAAAACACAATGATAATTTTAATAGGAAAAAAAGCAATGAACAATAATAAAATCTTGCTACCTTTAGGGCTACCTGTCATTAAAACCACAATAATACCTTGCAGGTTTTGGTGGAGGGTCGAAAAGACCCACTCACTTTTGACCCGACCTGTCATTAAAGATACATAAACAAGGCCAGGTGATCAAATTGAAAGAAACCAAGCCAAGCACATTAATAATAATATAAAATCAGAGTCAAATACCAGCGTTCGGAACAATTTTAACACCAACTCGAACACTGCGACCGTTTCCACATCACCTTTGATAATATCTACCGCAGTAGTAGACGAAACGTTGGGAATTGAAACCTGCAGACCACGGCCAAAAAAACCGGAAAATAGCTTTCACACTATCAATAAATAGTTAGTAAACAAATATTCCGGTTTATTATCACACAATGGAGATCTTCATTCCTGCGTACCTTTTCTTTCTCCCTCCGTCGTTCATCTTTTTCATTTCGGCATTTTCATTCTACCGCCAGGCCTCAAACATTTTCTCAAACTTTTCCATTCCATCGTAATCGACACTCCTTGTTTTCACCATGAAACAAAACCTTCAGTCAATTATTTCACTTCCGACACTAAATGTTACGCTTTTTCCCGTGGATTGACCAATAATTGACTACACTGAATAATCAAACTTAACTTTATTTCACTTTAAATACAAGAAACACTTCACTGAAACTTCAACAATTATTTGAATGTCTATCGCCTTACTAAATCACTTCGCGTAACACGCTGTAACGTCCACTTATCCTCGTGGCTAGCCTTTAAATATCGTAATCGAATGACGTATAAATTTCGCCAAAGTTCCGAAATCGGTAGCATTATTCCTTGTGCTCCCTGTGAGTGGAAGTAATATATTTCACCTATTCATCAGTTACTCATGTGTATAATAATCGTACCAATATCATCTCACAAATGAACAATTAAACAACTCAAAACAAAAAATACACTAAAACAATAAATATAATTATGTGCAACATTCAGTCATTCCATCAGCTGTTCATCATTCGAGCAGCGCCATCATCGATAGAAATGGCTATGTGACTGTTCTATTCGGTATTCTGTGAACTGAGGTTCAAACCTTTTATTCGGATATAATTTGATAGCGGAACGGGCAAGTGTGCCCGTTCCAAAATTGAAGATCGACTCTTTCAGTTGTGTTGCTAATTGCATATGCAGGAAATTTTCTGTGAAGATTCCTTCATTGATGCCTGTCGTATATAATCCAACGCCGTTCGTAGTATTAGCCAGTGGAGTAGTTGTTTTCTATTGTTTTCTGATAGGCGTCAGTCCATTCAACCTATTGTGTAGGTATATCCGAGACTGGCTTGAACATTTGAAGTTCATTTCTTTAGATTTGTTTACTGCCAGTCTTCAAGCATACCCCACTGACCAATAAGAAAAAAAATCTAGATTATCAAATTCGTGCGTCAAACTCGAGGAAAATGTGTAATAATGATATAGAAAACGTAGTTACAAATCAGGATCTAGGCACAAACACTCAAATATTACTTGTTCGTTATAGGTTATGTAATATTCGTTTATAAAACTGGTAGATACTTCACATTTCCATACTATCACTGAACAAAATCCTCTATAGTCAGTTGAACCGTTGAGCACAACTCTGAAATTAGATGAAATCAAGATTAGGAAGTCAGTAACAAAAATCAAAGACAGCGTGTATTCGTCTTTGAGAACTGTGGACATCTCGTGGATGTCCACAAGTTCATTGTTTGTTCAAAAAAGTGTTTCTTAAAGTTTGTTACACTTTTTCTAGTTTATAACCTTCCACAATCTGAAAAATTTACTAAGCTAAGTTACTGCGTGATATAAACCACTGAAGAATCAAATTAGTTGTATCCATAAATTTCTCGAACTAACTGAATCATCAATAAAACCGTCAAATGTCTATACTTAGCTCTCTTACGATTGTTGACGTTTCGTTTCAGTCACAAACTACTTACTCTAAGTGGTTTGTGGTTTCAGTTTTATTCATTTTTCGGATTGTGAAAGATTGCAAAAGATGGTAAATTCGAAAAATAGTAGGAGACATCGACTTCTCACAAATAAATGTCTTCGAAATAATGTTTTTCAAGGTTTCACTAGAATAGCTTCTATGTTCAGCAGTATGATTTAGACAACAATTTCGAGAAACTGCAATGGTCACAAAGCTACTCGCACTATTTCTATTTTCTGAAATATTTCACTTGTTCAAATATCGTTGAGAATCCAAAAAGTATGCTTGTATTTTCATATTAACGAGATTATAAATATCTCAATTTAAACGAAAACTTTATATGAGAAATGGAATAGTGCGTCGGAATATTAGTCACTTCCAAAATGCATTTCAACTTCAAGTTGAATCTCTTTTCAAATCATGATTTCTGAGAGAGATAACTCATAACGTTATTGGCCATGTGATTAGTTTGAAGTAAGGTGGTTTGGTTCGGAAGTTTGGTTAGATATTACTCTGTAAGTTAGCGCCAAAATTTATGTGAAAGGAAAGTGCCCTAAAGTAAAATTGCGTGGTGTTTCTACTTGTGTGTTTGTGTTTATCTACTCAGAACATAGCTGCTGATATGGCGAGCAAGGAAGAAATTGCTGCTTGTTTTCAGGAACTAAACATTAACGCAAGTGATGCAGTTCTCAATAAATGTAAGTAGTATATTTAAAGTCTAAAAATCCCATTCAAACGGTATTTTCCATTTAGGTCTGGAAATGTGCTTGACTTATAATATTGTGGCAGAAGATTTTTGTGATCAGTGGTATGCATATACGGCTTCAAATTTGAATGGAGCACTTCCAACCATTGAACATTTGGACAAAATGGAACGGAAAGAATTTCAGAAAAATAAAGACCAAGTTTTCCCTCGACAAAGTTTGTTAACCCCAAAACATAATCCCCATAAAATTACCGGCGATTTGTATCCTTTCATAGCTAATTTGTACTTATTTTCAGTTATTCCAACATATTTCCTTAATGACATTACATAGAGATGATGCGGTGGTCAGTTCCTATTTGGAGTTAACACCGAAGGTGAGTGTCACAAAAAATCAGTTTATTGCCTGCGGTCAAAAACGGACGTTAGGAACGTTGGCTTATGATTTACAAAAGTTTTACCACCATTTTTTATGCCTTTCTCGTCTCGCTTCAATGATCATCGAAAATTGTCTACATTATCTCGTTCTGGCAACCCGTTATCATTGATCAGAAAGAGATAGCGAATAGGACGTTTGTCGAGTTGTGGCACTTGCGCACAATACTTAAAAGTTTTCTGAGAAACTTCAAGGCTATTTTATCCTTCAGCGGCCATTGTTGAATATGTAGAAGACGCTTGGCTTTTGTTGGTGTGCGTCGTTCAGCTTTTATTTGATCGGATTCATTAATCTCATGCAAAAATAGTCGCCGGCTTTTTTGCAACCTGTTGAATCATTTCGCGGTCTGATTTGATATTTGAGTGGTGTGATAAGTCTAGTTTCTTGTTTCGCGATCGAGGGGAACAAAGTAAGTGTAAACAACCTTTAACTGAGATTTTGTTTGTACTTTGTAGACCAAATTATTCACAAGGTTAAACAGCGTTAACCTCTGTTGTTACCCTAACAATTTAATTATAGTTAAAAATATTAGTATTTGTAAGATCTCTTTGTTTTCGTGGGGCGGTTCGTTGATTTTTTTGTTTGGTCAGCAAATTGAACAAAATTCCAATGTAGCGTCAGTGATTTCACTAATTATTTGTTAAAAAAATCTTGAGTGGCTTTTTTGTTTCTACCTCTATTCAAATATTAATAATAGGAAACTTACAAAGAATATCATCACAAGAATTTTGATCTGAGATTGAAAGTGATTCATATATGTATGTATTCATGATTTTGGATGATATCTTCTTGTTTGTATCTGATAGAAACTCTGTGGATGCTCAAAATAGTTTTACATTGATATTTTATAATTTTCTTTCTTTGAATGTATTCCATCCCTTATATATCTAAATCGGAGGAGATCTAGAAAGTTGAAATGTTCTAAGTGGGTGGGGGTCTAGTCTCACGGTTTTTGTATTCGTGACTAGATCCACACTCATTAAGAAAGTTTCATACCTACATCACTGGAAAAACAACTTTCATAGAAGAAGCAATTACTGAAGACTTCTAGATTCCTGTATTGGCGCGTGTGGTGCTGGTCCACGAAAATTTTGAATCGTGACTAGATCCATACTCGTCTATGGGGGCTTCTACAACCTGTGGTTTATTGTTACTCCAGAAATGAAATTCAGACTTGGATTATGGATTCTTCGAATAAGAAACTATCATATTGTGTACATTTGAAACACAACAAGAGATTTATAAAGTTGATATTTAAATTTTGTATGCATAAGTTTTGTTTTGGTTTCATGATATTTTCATCTTTGTTTACCAGGTAAATTCAAAATGCATTATTTTAAAGAGTTAACTTATTACGATTAAGATTCATTCAAGATATTGTAACAAGTTTATGTCAAAATTACTAGAGAATATAATATAATAGCTTCCTTAGGCGAGTTTTTATATGTATGTAGAAAATACCTGTAGAAGCTTTTTTAAAGTGAACATGTGTTCCAGTTTGTGAACTAAAAATCTCGCGGTTTTGTTTGAATAAGTTTTCAAAGATTTTCATCCTTAAGAGACGTCATGTTCTCACATTTAGATTTCAAATTGAATCCTCTTATAAGTGTCACCCTCTATTTTGCTAATACCAGCCTTTATTCAACCCTTGATCTCTTCAAAACTCATATCTCCATGTCTACTTTTCCATACAATGGTATCCTGTGTTATTTGGTCATGCAACTATAAATGTCCTTGGGTGTATTTAGGACTATTAAACCCAAACAAATGAGTACTTCAGTTGGATATTTCATTTTTTGAGCCAGTCTTTTTGAAAATTCAAGTTTTTGATCATGGTCGTTATTTGATTTTGTAATGATGAAATGTTAAAGAAAATGAATGATGAATTAATTTCTGTCAGAGGGAGAGTTTTGTCATGAATAGCTACTTTTCTGATGATGGTAATATCCATTTCAAAATTTTAGATCACTTCTGATTATTTATTTGTAACATTTCGTACCATGTTTCCTATGAGCTACTGAACATATTTTCAGAAACTAATGTACTAATTTAATATGTCTTGCCTTGGTTTATTCCACCAGTATCTTAAGCAGTTTCATTATTCCTTGCACAAAGAATAATTTCTGTTCAACCAGGTTAAATGTAATCTATTTTTGAATTAATGAAACATTTGATTTACTGTCAAAAATTTTGGTCATTGAACAATCAATGAAAGGTAAAATGAGAACCTCTGATATGGAACGAATCCAATTTTAGGACTCTTCCTGTACAGCAGCATTATAACATTGTTCTCAAACTACGATGAAGTAAGTATAGTTCTTCTGATGTCACTAACTTGGTGAATGGAGCTTAGAGAAGAGTGTTAGTGTTAGGAATAACTAGTATTGGAATCGCATAAAATACAATCTGGAAAAATGATCTCCATTATAAAATACTTGAGGGCTTTCAAAGATTTTTCCAGTGTGTCACTAGTTATTGAAAATATGAGGGTTAGCCTGAGAGATGAAAGGAAGGAGAGGAATAAACTCACAATCATATTTTGTGAGTCATGACGTCCCCTTATTGAAAAAAAAATCTGGCTCTCGTTGACTTGGCATATTCTGCTCCTCAAGTTTTGGGGGTTTATTATCTTTGAATAACACATTGTTTGGCATCCAAAATGTATTAGATTTTGTTAAGTGAGATTGTGGTAAAAACAATATTTTCATATATTACAATTTTTTCCAAATGCATGAAGATGTAAATATTTGTATACCTTGAGAAGTCAGATCATCTTTAACACATGTTCATTTATTTAGGTGTTTATGCATATTGTATTTTTATCTTTGCTGAATGTGCAGCAGTTTATGTCTGGAATAAATTGTATTGAGGAATTGATTGTTTTTTTTACTAAGGGGGAATATAAATGAATGTCTCATCTTAGTAAAGTTACAAGTTAAACTCTCATTAGAAATCAGGAAATTTTTTTTCTTATAATTTCTAAGAAAACCTGTAGCCATTGACATATTCAAATTTTTGGTAATTCTCAGAGAAGATAGTTTCCATGAAGTAAAAACAGAAATTTTACATTCTTTAATTTATTCAAAGCATATGTGAAAAATAGATTGACTTCCTTATGGTATACTTTAAAATTAATTACGAAACAAGATTCAAGGGTGTGTTCATTTTTAAAACTTAAATGACCTGTTTCTAAGTCTCATTTAAAGAGAACTTGGAACTTTCTTCAAAATTTATTTCTCAAGAATATGAAAAATGAACAAATAATTCTTGTAAGTTTGAATTTAAGAATACTAACTTTTCAATAAATTGGTTTTTCGTTATTTAGTATTGTGATCCTAAATTCACAGACCATACCATCAACACAAATCTAATATCTGTCTAATCAATTTTCATAGAGAAAATAGTTTTGAAAGTATTTTTTCTTTCATGTAATTCAATGTTGAATGAAAGCAGTTTTTTTGAGAGAGCTTCATTTTCCAGTTTCCGTCTGAAAGTTTTTCTATGCATGATCTACACATCTTTGTAAAGAGTTCATTTTCAAACTAATTGCTTTCTTCATTCCTTTTTTTGGAAGATTCCCACATTTTTTGAATTAAGATGAAGTAGACAGCCAAAACCACCTTTCTTTCTTCTTTTTCAATTTGTAAGTGAATGAAATCTGTATGAGATCTACATATTTTTCGAAGCCGTTTTCATTGAGAAAAATCATTATATTCAGCAACTCTTTACATTCTTCAAAGATCAATTTTTCTAATATACTCATACTAATTCAGGTTAATGTCTACTAATTCGATCTAGTTTTTTACATTGAAAGTTTAAATGGATGTAGAAGCTTATAATGGTGTTCAATTGATGAGGAATGTTGAAGGTAAGTCAAAATATCAAATTATTTTTCATATATATCCTGTGACAAAAATTTAATTGCACACTGTTGCTATCCCGCTTATGGTATAAGATACGATGTTGGTGTAATTACACGAAAAAATTAAAATGCAATGGAGTTATATTCAGAAATCCTGACTATCGTGAGTCATTCTCAAAATAATGGAAAAAACTGAAATCATTGATTTTAATATTTCTGCTCTGCTATTGCTATTATACTTCATTATATTTATTGTAACCAACATCGTATCTTCTACCATTACCGAGATAGATAGCTATGATGTATAGTTAACTCTTTGCCACACAGTATGACAAATTCAACAAGCCTAATAAAGATCAGGAGGTATAAAAATTACCATATTTCTGCAGAAATATAATCAGACCATAAGTTGCGGATGTGCGGGCATCAAATCATGTATTAGTATTATAATTTGCTACTGTGGACTTTTTTAATATATCTCTAATGATGCGAAGAATCCAACCAATAACATTTATTGATAAATTGATGGATGTAGCTGTTACTACGTGGTAGGAGAAACGAACCCTAGTGGTTTATTATTACGCACCTATAGAAAGACATAGAGGCTGAAACCAGACATGATGTATTGGCTCTACATGGTTATACCAATGATAACATGCATCTATGGTCTGATGATCAAAGATGAAACTAAGTATCGCTATTAACAAACTAAGCAAGGGGCAAAAACTTTCATGTTTGGGAATAACTGGAGCAATTGAAACCTCCCCAACATCTGCATTAGATATACTCTTGAATCTTCCTCGTTTACATCTTGTAGTAATGGGGAAGCAAGAGTGGACCAATTCAGACTGGAAACGCGGTTAAAGTCTTAGACCTCGAAGAGTGAAGATTGAACAGTCATTCCGAGAACATGCTCGGCAGTAACACTTGGAAAACAGGTGGATTGAAAACAAATTAATACAAATCTGTCTTACAGTTTGAAGTGTATGTAATCTTGCAATGTGCAAGGAACATTAATTTGAAGCCTCAACAAAATGAGCGGATCGATATTTTTACAGACAACCAAGCTGCACTAGGAGCACTGACTAACCTAAAAGTGGCATCGAGACTGGTCTGGAACGGCCGTGAGGAACTGAGGAAACTGGTGGATACGAATAGATTGACCATATACTGGGTGCCAGGACACTCAGGTAATATGGGCAACGAAAAAGCTGACGAGTGTGCGTACCAAATCTATGATACGGAATCAGATTGGGAAATGTAAATCCTAAAATAACTTCATATTGTTGAATTCAGAATATATTTCATATACAATTCGAATGAGTGCCACAATTCGACATGCTTTTTTGTTTTCATCTTCTTAATCGGCATAAAATATGTATGTGAATATTGGTTTTTCATTGGTCTCTATTTGTTCCAGAGCAATCGTAATATCTCACATACTTCTGTACAGAATAAGCAAACTCCAAAGACTCCTGTAGCAAAAAATCTGTCAGATAGCTATGTTAACAGCCCGGCAATGTAAGTATAATTGGATGTACATCATATATAAATTCTCTGTTTCAGTGCTCTTAAATATTTTTTCAGTAAAAAGAAAAAGGTTGTTATTATTATTAAATTATGATTAATAATGAAATGAATTAGGGTCTCAGTTTTCTGTCGATTCCACAGAAGACTTCTGTCAGAATTTTCATCTTCCTTTCTCCATTACCTGGTTAGTACCATTGATATGATTTATTGATCTTACAAAAGTGTTCAATTCTTTCAATCATTCGTGATACAAAACCAGACATAGGTATTTCGAACTTTCATGGGTACCATCAGTGATGCTAGGCGAAACCATTGTTGAACTCAACTGTCCCTAAAGAACAAGCCTGAGTAAAAGTATACACATACATTTTCCCGTACGAAGATGCAGTGAAAGACAAATCCCGTTCTTTGGTTGATGTCGAAGCTTGATTTTGCAATGATAAAGATATATCATTGATATTCCTGACTTGATTCTTCTGTCAAACCCATAGATGGCGTCGTCATAAGGACGACGTACTTACGGTAGTGAGTGGGAAAGAGACGTGTGCGACGTGATCGACGCATAAAAGGATGGAATGAGGATGGAATTTCCAATTCCTTCAACATTCTAATATACTACGTTGAAAGTTTTTCCTATGAAATGTAGGGTAGGTTTATCTGGCTCATTAACAATGATGGTGTCGACTTCCAAAGAGTTGCTCATGACTTCATATCCAGTATATCCAGTGATACTTCAAAGTTGTATCTGTGACCCAGTGTGTGTGTGTCTATTGTCAAAATTTTGTAAATCCTTTTATGCATATCTGTATATATCCTTTTTGTCATTTCTCCTCGTGATACATAAATTGATTTATATAAAGGTAAATTATTAGTTAGATTTAGTTATAATCATCTTAAAATGCTAATATAGTTAACGAAATGTGTGTGTTACGTATCTTTTTATATTTAATTTTCACTTTTCTTTTAGTACATCAGAAAAATATTCTCAGAGGTCAGACTCAAGATCGGTACAATGCTACTATGGTTCACAGTCGGCAAAATATAAAAGAGAATCCGACCTTACTTTATCAGTTAAAAATCAAAATGAACACAGTCTAACATCAGATGTTAAATATATGTACGAAGTTATGGGAAAGAAATCGAAGTGTCTTGATAATATCACCTACAATCTAGGACACGCAATTTTGGAAACACACGGTCTAAGTCTTTCTGAGGGTCTATTAAGAACTCAATTGGTAAGTGTCAAAATTTCTCTACTGAACCGAAATTCGTAACATTTAAATTTCTTAGGGAGAAATGACAACATACGGCAGAATAGTTTCAGATTCAGATGGTAAAATAAATGTCCAATCTGTTCTTCTAGAAGGTTCTCAAGAAACAAACTTGTGTAATACTACAACCTTGAATATAAATAAACTACAAAAATATTCTCTTTTTCCTGGTCAAGTAGTAGCTATCCAAGGAAACAATGTAAATTCCAGCACATTTATTGCCGAAAAAATTTTCACAGGCGCAACATTGAATTTACCTGAAGAATTTCCTCTGAAGACTGGTATGTATTAAATAAAAATGCAATAGGTGTTTACCGGTGTCATAAGAAACTATGAGTTCTCCATATATCAGATCTTGACACACATGTAGCTCCGAATTTCTGGATGAATGGAAACTAGCAGTTTGTGCAGCTAATAATGTTTTCTTTGTTTTGACATACCTAGTTTTTTCAATTTATCATATATTATCTATATTGATGTTATGAATTTTTTTTCCACAATACCGGACGTTTTCTTCGTATAACTTCAAGATAATACTCCTTATTGACCGTACGACCATGTGGCATGAACTCCTGATGTACTACGCCACGGTACTCAAAGAAAACAGGAAAACTTGATTGACATTTAATCGAACTTGGCTTGCTTTTTTCGGTCTTGGCTCTCCTGGGCTCTTCTATTGAGACACTTGGACTTTGGTTTCGATGTCATACCCTATACCCATGATTCGTCACCAGTTATGACATTGCCGTTGATGTCATTCAACAATTCCTGATCGATACTCATGCGACGGTTTTTTTTTGGTAAAAATTCAGCGGAATTTTGAAACGAACTTTGCTGCCACCTGTCTCTAGCAACTTCTCTAATAGTGATTTGACGATTCTCCATAATAATTTTCTTCACTTTCTCAACAATTTCATCAATTGCTGATGTGCTGGGGCATCCAGGGCGAGCGTCGTCATTCACATCTTCTTGACCTTCTTGTACCACTAATAAACATTTTTCTAACTCAAGAGTAAAATCACCGTGTAACTTCTCTAATAGTGATTCGACGATTTTCCACAACAATTTTCTCCACTTTCTCAACATTTTCATCGGTTGTTGATGTGCTGGGGTGTACAGGGTGAGCGTCGTTCTTCATATCTCCTAGACCTTCTGTGAAAATCTTATACCACTCGTAAACATTTTTCTGACTCAAAGTACAATCACCATATGCCACTGTCAACATTTTAAGTGTTTTTGAGCACTCCATTCCCATTCTTACACGAAGTTTGATGCAAATTCTTTGATCTATTTGTTTTTCGATAACAGAAAATCGTCGAAAACGTAAACACTTCTAACTTTTCCCACATAAAAAATGAAAAAATCGCTAATTGAATGTACGTAGCCCGCGAAATTTTAACATTTACTGAATTTTTATTTTTGTTCGGGACTATGTCACTAGTCTGTAATGTACACAAGGATACCCTTGAAAGGGTGAATAGTTTGAACTCTGATTACTCTGGGTTGCTCAATACTGTCAATATCCTTACTCTAGAAACGCGTTGACATAACAACAATCTAATATTTTGACACAAATTGGTGAATGGATTGGTCAAGGCAAAACAACTACCGAGTTTAACACTTTCATTAGAACTAAGCATTTCAGGCTTTTTGGCATGGAATTGCACCATACCACCAACTATGCTCAAAATAGTCCTATTACGAGGATGTAAACTGTGTACAACGAATTCAGTACTGATTCGAATAATTTTGTGTCATTGCAGGGGTTCAAAATTTTTCTCAAAAACTGGAATGATTGAGTTGTACGTATATTTGTATAACTTTTAGCCATCTTATTATTTATTGTATATGTATATTTTACTCAACATTATGAAGGACTGCCGTTAAATTATAAATAAGGCTGACCTATATAATATAGTATTTGTCTCCATTTTAGTCTCTGTAGTTGAATTAAGAAATTTTAAGGCTGATCAGTTTAGGGATGATTTATACAACCCAGTCCTTTTCTCCATTTTAGTCTGTCTTGAGAAATTTTAAGAGTGGTCAACTTATACAGTATAATTTTTAACTATAAAATTAAGACTTGTTTCCAATTGGAACGTAATTGTGCGATTCGCCAATTTCAACAAATGTGGCTCTTAAAGACTCATTTTGCATAATAATAAACCAATTTTCTCTAATATTAAAGTTTCAGGTATGAGAAAGGAAATCAAAGAAATAAACGAGGTGAAGTATTTGGACATAATTATTGACAATAATTTAAAATGGAACAATCATGTTGATTATCTAACAAAAAAAGTGAGGAAGCTAATATATAAATTTTATCAGCTATGAAAGTTTATATCAAAAAATAAATTCATATTAATGTACAAATCTCTACCTGAATCAATTTTTCGTTATGGTATTCTGGTGTGGGGAGCAATGTATAAGTGTTTCTGCAAAAACTGAACGTAATACAGAACTATATTCTGAAAATAATCTTGAAAAAAAAGATCATATCACACTAATCTTGTATATACAGAAGATCTTAGTAATATTCGAATATTATACTTTCATAGTTTATGTATGTATGCATTCAAAAACAAAATATTTCTTAATGATGTTCCCACAGTTTATATTACTAGAAGTACAACAAACAAAGTGCTACCCACTCCAAAATATTAAAAATTATAAAACCTATCTATAGAATCAAAAAAAATTATCATCAGCTGTTAATCGAAATATGTCGCACATTATTTTGTCAAGATCTTTAATTTAGGACCACTATGTAAAAAAGTCTTTCACCTAATATCAATTCATATCCAAATATAAACAACATTAAAAATTGAAGTGCCAATTAAACATTGTCAAGTTGTGTGTCTTTTGTGTACTCTGTACCTCTATGAATGAAGTGCTGACATTTATTGTATCTTTTATTTTTTTTGAGATGTAAATAGCATCAACTGCTTTGGCCATTAGACTCGTGTTCTGGATAGGGAATATTGATAACTCCCCGAGCTATAGTCCATACGAAGTCAACTCGAATAGCATAAAAACTAAATAGTTACCGAACGTCGGCAGTTTCTTTGTATGGCATGGGCGGCGTGTTATAATTTACGAGGTCTAATCATTATTTCTACGTGGGAGGTTTTATATGGTATTAACCCGGTACATTCGTCTTTTATTTACCTGTTCGGATTGACTTCGTATAGACTATACATAGGGAGCATCATGATTATAAACAGTCCATTAGCCGTGTACCATTACAGAACCATCCCAACTTCAACTAGATGAATTCCCCTCGTGAGTTGCTGTATCTTTTATTATTTCTTTATCAAGAGTGCCGTAGTTCGAGATTTTTTGACAAAACATTTTTCAAGGAGAAAAGGTCAAATCACACCAGGAATATTCCATGCATCCTGTAGGCCATTTAATTGATAAGTTGAAAAATAAATACCTGTAGGGTATGCGCATTATTGTCGTCCTACTGGTCTTAGTCCTAAAAGTTTACAAATTGTGGGCAAAAGACTAAGAAAAGGACATGAAACGTTTTATTTATTAGTAAACGAGACTACATATTGACAATCGTTTCAATATAGATATTCTCTAGTGCAGTACTAAAATAAATTAAAATAAACTAAATCTAAACGTAAAAATCGTATGATAAATATGCTTGTATATGGCAAACATTTCCTATAATGAATGAAATACAGTGATGTTTTTTCACTCAACCTGAAAATCATTTCCGAAAAATTATGAAACATCTCTGGGTAATTCAATAATTGACGGAATTATCAATTTATGCAAATTATTCAATAGTTTTACAAATGACTTGGTGAGTTTTGGTGGTGAATCCAACATTTTTGATATTATAGTAAACTTGATGTTGCAGAACTATTTATTTCTCATTTAAGTTACTTTGTTTATTTCTTGTCTCATTTTTCATCAGTATCCGAATATTTTTGAAAACTTATTTTTCCAGATAAGTCAGTCATCGCTTTTTGAATAAAACATGTAAAAAATTAGTAGTGATATTATTGGAACCATGCTTTTGAAAATATATTTTATTCTGATAAACATGAATAAATAAATAAGTAATAAATATATTCATCACTTTGATAATACTCTCATGATTTCGATCATATAAAAATTCCTGTCTTTCTCAGGTTTCCTGGTTAACATGGCAGCCACAAGATCTCCAAACAAATCCTCAGGTGATTTGGGATTCCGAACAGTATCATCTGTTTTCTCTCTTTTTTCTGATGCAGCCTCACTATGAGTACTAGATAATCGTTTCCTTGTAGTATTGGAATAACAAGAACTGTCAGCCACTTCTATAGCCGTACTTTCTTCCTTTACTCCAAAGTCATTTGATGATTCATTCAATGAACTTTCATCTCCGGTTTCATAATTCAATGTAATTTGTGAGAAGTTGTTTTTACGTTCCAGAAGGTGTGATGTGGCTTGTTGCGTGGTCATGCTTGGGGGTGAATTATTTCGGACAATTTCGGAATTCGTTTTTTGGTAATGGGTATCGTCACTTTGTTTTTTTCTGTATTGTATTACTTTATCTGAAATACGATTACTTGTAGGTCAAAGCATTTTCAAAACTAAATAGACTAGGAGTAATTTATTCATCTAGAAATTCACTTGATGGAATAGAAAATATTGATATCACACAAATTTATTAGACTAGTTAGAAATGAGGCGTTAATGGTTGAAATGGATGTAACTGAATACTATATGATACAATATACTTTAAAACAAAATGAAAATTCATAAATTCCTCTGTATGGTGAAATGCATAATATGCTAATAATGAAATCAATTTTTTTATCGAAACATTTAACGTTTTCCAGAGGTCAGTGAAAGTTGTTTTTAACTTACCTAAAAAACTTAGCTCATCAAGGAGTTCCCATTTTTCTCCTTCATGTTGAAATTTGACTCTTTGCCTAATATATTTTTCTCTCAATGCTTTCCACCGCAACATACAAGCATTTGTTTTCAAATTCAGCCTAGCTGCTATACTATCCCACAGTTGACTCTTCACATGTTTGTTTGGATAAGTATTACAATTTCTATCCCAAATGGTTGTGTTTTGTCTTACAAATACTATTAGGGATTTGTCCATCTCTGTTTGATTCATAGGATTAGATGTAGATGCGGTATCTTGATCCATCTGAGATCATAATTCATTTCCTTTTTGTGTTACCATTTCATTTTCTATAAACACTTTCCTAAAAAAAATATCAGGCTAGAAATTTGATATCACAAAACAAAACATGCAACAAAGGTCCCAATCCAAACAGCCCATTGTATTCTTTTTTGTGAATCACTGTAAAAATTTGCGGGAACTTTCCCGAAAAAAAATCTGCAAATTTCTATCTGAAACTATTGTATCAGAAAGTGAAAGAGCAACCAGGTAAATATAAATAGAGCCAATTTTAGAGTGATGAGTTAGTTTTCTTCCTTCCCTGAAGACGTCAACTTGGTTGGTGAAAAGTTTGAGAAGATTATTGCATTTCTGGTTTTTGGGAAAAATGCTTCTTTTGGATTTATTCTAGGCCAGAAGTTCCAGTTTTACCTTTTGAGTAAATGGGATCTCCAATTCTTTATCCGGCACTTTTTTATTTTACCAAATCGGATCTGAATAATTTCAGTTTTAGTTTTATGTTCGTTTGATGATTATAATTTCAAACAAAATGTATTCAAGTGCATGTTTTCACTTCCTGATAATAATGAAGTAGCATTAATTTCTTATATTATCAAATGTTTCTGGTGTAATTTTGTTGCAAGAACCTCTTTTTATATTCACGAATTCTGTAATGAATTGCGGTTGGGTCTGGTACAGTTGAATGTTATGGATCGCACATAAATATTTGGAGGTGTTATATCAGGTGAACTAGGGGATCACAGTTGCCTATCCACCAATTTGGATAATTATCTAGTCAAGGAAGTACCTCATCATGGTGAAACGTAACATCAAATGAAAACTCATTTGGGTTTGTCGATCAGGAAGAGAATGTGAACATTTCGAACATTTATTGGAATAAACTGAAGTGAGTTTTGAATACATTTTGTTTTTGAAATTACATTTATCCGCATAACGCATATCAAACGAGGTTTGAAAAAAAAATTCGGTTGCGTCGGCGACGACGGTGTAACACCATTATCTTATTTTTTCAAAAAGTACTAAAAATGCCCTTAGATACTATTTAGTGTGGATCTGTTTGATATGCTCTCATGAATATAAATGATAAACTATTTGGTAGTGAGAGACAAATTTTTCAAAGTAAGCCGATGAATATTTACTGAATATCCAATTTATGTCCATATCTCATTGACTTCCGGAGGTCTTCAACTTGAAAGTCCATGAGATATTCTAAATTTTTTTAATATCTTTATGGATGTCCAGAGACTTACGGGCCGGTCCAACTTTGCCTCCTATCATTGTCCACTAGTTATTTGTCACTATTTCGAGATATTTTGGATGTGATGTATCTCAAATTTGTGGAAAATACTTGTTATGTCGACAATTTTTCATTGATTAATTAATTTTGAGGTTATGTTAGCATAACTGTCAAAATTTGTAATTTATCTCAATTTTACAAGGTTGCCAGGTCAATTCTTCTAGTATCTTTGCTTTCAGAAGTTCGTTGTTTGACGGTGAATAAGACACTTTTCTTATTACCTCTTCAGCAACAATATGTATAACATTATGAGATGAAGCACTCAATTCATTCATAAAATTACGACTTTATGTCACGTCGTCGATGACAGCCATGGGAATCTTGCTTGAATTGAAGGGGGAAATACTTTTTAGGAGATATAGAATTTTTTCAAATAATTTTCCAAATGAATATTCGAAGTACAAACTGAATGGGAAAACGTGTTTTTTTGTTTAATTCGATGTTCATATAAAAGTAGTTAGTTGTTTCGAAAAAAAAATTTTGTAATTCGATGGTTATATGGGAGTTGTTTTGAGAGGTTTTCTTCCAGGTTGTTTCTGAAAGTTACTTCTTTGTATGTGCTACAGATCTTTGTAAAGAGTTTATTTTGAAATTAATTGCTTTCTTCCTATCTTTGGAAAATTCTCTTTCGAAACAACTACTTTTATATGAACATTGAATTATACAAAAAACACATTTTCGTATTCAGTTTGTACTCCAAAAATTCGGTATACCATTCACAGGATCGCTACACAATATGACATATGAAAGAGGTAGTATTTCAATAAACTGATTGATGCAGCCGTTAGTTACTACGTTGTAGGAGATCATCATGAAAAATGAGAAATGACACATTCTATGTTTTTCACCACTTTTATTTGTAACTGTAGAATCTCATATTACAAATCCGATCTAAACAAGATTCCAGGTCTGCCTCATAGGCTTCAAAGTTTGTTTTTCGATTTCAAAGTTAATGTACCGTTTATTTGAACCAGTTTCCCCAGCAAATACATTTAATTTCTCAACATAGTTTCAAATGTTGTATCACTTCCTACTTTTCATGATAACGAAAGTTGATTTATTTCGTACGTTTGAAATGTCCGAATTGTTTGCCATAATAAACTGTAATAAATGCTCACCTGGTGTCTGTACTCCCCCAGGTCAGGTGGTGTGCTTTGGCGTTACAGCCAATTATGAGCTGTGATCTGTCTGCTCGGTAGGCCCTTACTAGCTCTTCCGCATCCTTAGTTGGTGGCGATTTCTGACTATTTAAAAAAAAGGTACGCTGATCCAATGACGAATTCCTCAGCAACTCCCTCACCAGCAATCTTTAATTTGAGCGTCTTCATATTTCTGGTACAAAAGTTACATAACGGCAGTATATTCAACTCTTTTCAGATAGTTATGCATGTTCTTGGGATCTCCGAGGTAATAAATTAACTCCCCCGGGTATCTCGTGATCTTTCCCCTTGAGGCCCAGTGTTTCAGTATGAGAGTTATATAAAACTTTCTCATCATCTTTGTAAGGACCGTCAAAGCTCCCTTGGTGTGTTGTACGTTGGGTTGAACTACTCTCATTGAGAGTCAGAGAAGTCGCTAAAAGTCGTTTCATTTATAGACGGGGTCCATTAAGTTCCCACGAGTATGGGCAAAAGAAAGACATCTGCATGAGTGTAAGGCTCTGAGAGGTCGCCTGGCATCCAGAGGATCCCTTGGTAATACCTGATGAAGCCCAGAAACTATTCATCATTCAGCACGGGTCGCATAACACCACTGGTTTAGGTTCCCTTTTTAGTTGCCTCTTAGATAAAGCAAAGGTTACCACAGACTCACTGTAACTCCTGTACCGCAGGGGGAGATACCCTTCTTGGTCTAACTTATTTTCCTCGACCAGTCCAGCCCATGAGACCCTACCAGTAGCTAAGCTCCGCCGGCATGGCTTTCGGAATCAGTGAAGTATGCAATGCTCACCACCATGTCAATGTGAAGGCACTAACGATTGGGTAAAAATTGATTAATAATTTATGTTTGAATCAACTTTACTTGAAATCTACGAACCAGTTGAACTAGAAACATGATACAAGAAACAAACTGTACAGATCACTATTCTTAAGATAATGATAAAGAAGTTTAGTATCATTTAAGACTAAACTATCTACAGAGCTTTCGAGAAATGGGTAAAAAACTCACACCATCAACATTTATAAATATATTTTATAATGCTGAAGAACTATTCTATAATTCAAAAAAAAATCAAACAACTATCCAATCATTTTATAAAAAGAGTTGATAAGGAATATCCTGAATTTCTTGCTTTTTTTTTCTCAAGAATATATGTCATTATTTATGAAATTATTGTAACTTTGTAATCTTATACATTTCCTTAATTTTCAGATCAAATGCAAATTGTTATTGCTGCTGGCCCTTTCACGTTGCAAGATAATCTCTCATATCAACCATTACACGATTTACTACACTACGTGTCGGAATACCAACCACATATTTTGATTCTAATGGGGCCATTTCTGGAACGAACCCATGACAGCATACACGACGGTGGCCTCACTCAAACTTTCGACTCTTTTTTCGAAGGATTGGTGGAGAATATCATGGGCACTGTACAACCAATAGACACTCACGTCATTATAATTTCTTCTCAAAAAGATGCCCATCATCATCCTGTTTATCCTACGCCCCCATTTAAAATTGCGGAACGGTATAATAATCTAACATTTGTGCCTGATCCTTGTTTGATAAATATTAATGGACTGGTCATTGGAGCTACATCGGCAGATGTATTATTGCATATTAGCAACTTTGAATTATACTTGTAAGTTTTTCAGTGAGTTTTGAAAGTGAATTTGAAAAATTTGGAACTTTTTGTCTGATTATTTAGGTGATGTTGACTGAAAATGTTGTGGAATGGTTTGGAATTTAATGGGAGGTATTTTTTTGCATGAGGGGATGTGCCACATATGTTTATACAGGGTGTTTCAAATTCGATCATCACCATTGGGATCTAGGAAACCATGAGAGATACGAATATGGTTACTCAATGACATTTTGTTATCGTACAAGTCATTGCATTTTTGTCAAAAAATGGCTTTCACGAATGAAGAAAAAAGAGATATGATGAAAATTTATTGCATATACGATAGAAACAGTGTTAGGACATCGGAAATGTATTTAAACTTGTATCCCTAAAGACGATAACCACATCGAACTATGTTGCAAGTTATTGGATCAAAATCTCACCGAGTTTGGTTCGCTTGAAAAGCCAATGAAAAAATACGGAGACAGAATCAACAATAAAAATTTGATAAATGAGCTGTATACCTTGCTGGTCCATTATTCCCTATTCATTTATCATGAAACCTTTCAGTCAGGTAATTAGATACTCGTCTGGTAGTGTGCGGTGGAGCATCATCATGTTGAAACCAGATGTTATAGTTAGCCAACGGTAGATCATCCAAATAGTCTTCGAAAATTGAGATTAAAAACTAGTGATAGGGTTCTCCATTCAGAATTCCGACAAATGAATGAGGACCCAAAATTCTATCTTTGTAAATTCCTGCCCACACGTTAGTACTAAATCGCACTTGAGGTCGAATTTCACGGAACTGCCTGGGGTGGTTTATGCTCCAAATGTATTTGTTATTTCGGTTGAATATCCCACAATTCGTAAAGTGCTTTCATCTGTCCAAATTACATTTTCCAGAAAAACAGGAAAATCAGGTCTTCTTATTAGTCAAATACAATATTAGAATCGCCTTTCTGGATTACCTGGGTGCAATTTTTGAGATATGTGTATTTTGTAACATTTTAAACTGCTTTTTTTTAGATGTCTCCAAGCACTTGTATGACAAATATTCATTTCGGAGGAAATTTGACGTGCAGATTTCCCCGGGTTCATGTTTATCTGCAAATCATTAATTTTTATTGAAAAGAACACAATGTCTAACTTACCTCATCTCATACATACCTCATTCATCAAATTTTCTTTAGTTTCCTGGTCCATTCTGTCTCCGTATTTTTCCTTGGCTTTTCAAATGAACCAAACTCGGTGATATTTTGATCCAATAACTTGAACATAGTTCGATGTGGTTGTCGTCTTTCGGGATACAAGTTTAAATACATTTCCGATGTCCTAACACTGTTTCTATCGTATTTGTAATAAATTTGTATCACGTTTCTTTTTTCTTCATCCGTGAAAGAAATTTTTCGCCAAAAATTCAATGATTTGTACAATAACAAAATGTCATTGTGTGTAACAAATTGAAAGTCAAATTTAGAAACATCAAAGTCGAAGCCTATTATAAGAATTAATTTTTTTCAATATCTTCAATTTTTCGGAAAAAGAATGATAACTTATGATACATCATTGAAAAGATGAAATCTGGTTCTATTCAAAACAGAAAGAATCCAGTGTAGCGCCCATGAGAAAAAATAAAGTTGATGATGGTGGCCGGAAGACGAAACGTCGGGTAGCAAATCTGAAAACACCATTATAGAGCAGGGAAAAAGTGGAAATGTGAAAGTGCAATCTTTTTTCGAATCCTTCGAAAAATGAAGCCAGAAAAAATAAAAACCATTTTCCGAAATTTCTGTGTACTCAAATTTCAGAACTTTCTCAACGGCATATTGTTAGTCAGGTAAATGCGCAACTTTGCCCCAATTTAACCATCTTCGTATCTCATAGTTTATGAGATCCCAATGATGAGGATCGAATTTGAAACACCCTGTATTATGCTTACATAGCTAAAACTGTTATGAATTTTTTTAAAAAATTCTGATACAAATCTATATTTCATTCAAATACTACTCGATCCTTAAAAACATTTCTAACCTTGTTATTTTGTCTTCCATTCTTTCTTAGCTTTTTTGAATGTGTCCAAACCAACGGATTTGGTTTTCTTCTAACTTTTCCTCTTTAGATTTTATCTCTAAATTCTGTCTATATGACGTTTTCAAGTCTATCTAATTAATTTTTATTTTTTATCTTTATAAATCTCATTTTTGTGGCCGTTAGTTTCCTTCCTATGTCCTTCTGTTAATATCTTCATACATGTATAAATATTGATGCGACTTCCTTCTGAGAAACCTCTACCTTTCCTTTATCTGTAATTATATTTATAATCTTTTGATATTATGGATCCTAGGCATTTGAATGTTTGCGCTATAATTCTTATTTGCGTATTTTCATTTGGTGCTGTTCATATTCCTGTATCATTGTTCTTGTCTTCTACACACTGAATTCCAAACTTCACTTATACCGATAACTGCTGCATATTTATATACCTCTCCAACTTCAACGACTTATTCCTATATTTCAGAACCATGGTCAGGATCATATTCATGAAAGTATTTGTAAATACTTTATCACAAAAGTATCAGAAGTTATTAATAATGAATTTCTGAATTAGGCTGTTCCTGTCACCTTATGGGCAGCTGTTGTTTATGTTAGACATAACATATATAATCTCTTGAAAACAGATTATGTATACATCAATATACCGGATCTTTGTGATAAAATACCTATTCAAATACGTTGAATCATCATCAACAGTAACACAATATTTCATTTGTAAATCCCTGTTATTGTTACTAATTGTGAAAATTACACTCAACTGTTTTTCAGTGACAAAAATCCTTCTGGTCCCATCGACAGGATGGGTCGTATGGCATCACATATTTTGAACCAGCACAGTTTTTATCCTCTATATCCTCCATTTAAAGGGATGTGTATAGATCATGAGTTATTGGAACAGTTCGGTACCTTGGAATGCAAGCCTCATGTTTTAATATTACCATCTAATTTGAAAAATTTCATCAAAGTAAGTATTGAATGAAGGGTAACGAAAAAAATTTTGATGAATTGTTCTTGAAGAGTACAAAATGTTGTACTCCTGAAAATGTCGTCCACTCATGTTATCGAAACTCACTATGACCTTGAATAGTCCCGAAACAAGAAAAATAGAAAAATCTTTTTTCAATAAAACATCCTTAGAGTTATCATTTATGTTATTAATAATTGATTTTTTTAGAATATTCAAGATTGTCTGGTTATAAATCCTGAGAGACTGACGAAAGGCTATGTAGCTGGAACTTATGCTAGACTGGAAATTAACCCGGGAAACACGAATTCTATTTGTGATAGAACTTCCTGTCAAATTCTTAGGATATAATTGTTAATGACATTTGGAAAATAAAATGTTTTTCATAATATTTACATTTTTTTGTTCCACATCAATTCCGGGAAAAGGCTGTAATGTTGGCATATTTAGAAGGCATCAAAGGACAGAATCGAATGTGTATTTTTCAAAGACAATATTTTGATAAAACACTCATTGATATTGCCAAATATTTAGTTTTGTTATATATGTAAATAGTAATAAATATTACACCAGGCAAATATATAATGGCAGGTGTTTAGCTGTGGAAGGTAAAAGTCTCTCAGGATAGTTGTTTGATAATATTTCATGGTGAACTTCATTACTTCGGATTTCCAATGTTTAATATGATATAAAATGATTTGAAATGCCTGAAAGAATCAATGAAATTAAAATGAATAGCTGAAAATAACTATTATATGAAGACCACAGAGGAATATCAGGCTTTGTCACAAAAACGAAATTCGTGAGAAATCAAATTTTAAACTTTTAAAACCTTCTGGCCATACTCTATTAATGATATACCGTTTTTCTATTCAAGTTAGGGTTAGGAATATAAATAGAAGTCAACTAGTTATGTCCTTCTAACGATAAAAATAAAATAAATACAACAATAAAAATTAATTGGCGCTCCGGGGCGACTTCATTGATTCCAGTGGCGCATTTGCTTTTTCAGCTGCAGGAAAACCCGGAAAAACCTGCAGCACCACATCATCTGAAGATCTTGATCCAACAATGTCCTCTCTCAAGCCGGATTCATGCAAAACCTTTTGAGCTTTTGAAGATCTTTATACTTGGCTGCTTTGATAGGAATCCTGCCAAAATAAGCTCGTGGTGGTAAATAAAATTCGCCTTCTTTTAGTCCATCCTTCACACCAGTCAATGGCAAGACAGAACTATTGAACTGGCCGGAGTATGTTTGCTTTAAAAACACGAGGCGAGGATGGTTCTTTTCAGTCTGGAAGATCATGACAGCTCTGGTACCGAAGGGGCATTTTTTTTTGTATCTAGGCTCTAGAAAGTTGGTCCAAGCCCGGAATTTTTCTTGTCGAAAGTTGACAACGTTGAACGGTTTGGGATTCGTCCTGGCATTTCTAAATACTTCAGGCCAATCCTTTGGTAGCTCACATGGAGATTTTTGGTTAATCAGACCCATGTTCTTATCAGGTTCCATATAAGAGTGCCCCCTTTATGGGAAACGTAACCTCAATGTAGTCAAGTCGTTTCTCCATGTGCACACTTCCTAAAATAAAGATGAAAGATGATGCCAATAATTCTTGGGAAAAAATATAAGGATTTACAACATTCTTGGGGTTTCACCTTACAAATATATCAAATGGCAATCTATTTCAATACAAATACCGCATTTACTGGAATTCGAAAGGTTTTTTCCCAGAAACAAATTCCACATCACATCCACCACATAAAAAAAAAACCTTGTTCCCTTCACTAGTTTGTTCTTGAGGCTGAGAAGAATGAACTTTGAGTGCCGCGCTATTGTGATGTTATCAGCAAATAAAGTAAGTATAAATCCACCTTCAATATTAATGAAAGATAGACCATTCATGTATGAGAGGAACAACAATCGACCGAACCCTGAGAAATCCCATAAATTACCAAACGAGATTTGGAAATCTGTTGGCAGAAACTATCTGAGTGCATTCTCAGAACTCATTTATTTTCAATTTATGCAACAGTATTTCATGATTCGCGCAGTGAAATACTTTGTTGGGATCATCAAACACTGCATCATCTTTGATACTGAGATGTATTGTCACTTGTAATGCAAACGGGGCATTATTCATACTTTTAGATCATTTGAAGCCAAGTCACATGTTCAACTTGTTACTACTGAGAAAAGCATTCTTTTTTTAACAATTTTTTTACTTGGTTTTACCAGAGTTGGTAAGAGGGAAATCGGTTTTAGGTTTGATGCCAATTCACAATTACGTCCTTTGGAAAATGTTTTTTTTTTCGGGAATTGTTGACCAGGGATGAAAAATGAGAAGTCCACATTTTGGTGTTTTTCTTTTATTTATTATAGTGTAACTACATAGGAAGGATGTGTAAAATATCCTTCAATATAAACAATATCCTATCTAAGATGGAAAGAAATTAAATAATTTATATGAAATACATTCAGCAACGGAAGATGTTGAGAATTTGTAATTTACAAGAAAGGGAGTCAGTAAGGTACTTAGTGAGAATCACTATAGTTTAATGACTACAATTTTTTGGACACGTAGCAAATATACCACTTGAATCTCTAGTAAGATTACCAATGCATTTTCTAAAACTTTTGCGTATATAATAATTTTCATTTCAAAAACATTAAACAATATAAATTATCACTACGTTATTCGAAGTAACCTCTGGTGTTCCTCAGGGGTCACATCTCGGCCTCTTATTCAATTTATTTATAAACGACATTATTCATTGCTTCCGGCACACCAAAGCACTATTATTTGCAGATGATTTAAAACTTCTAATTATTAAAACCTCATTTTTCAATATTATTATCAGCAAATTCAGACGTGCTAAACTCCTAGAAAAAATGTATCTACATGTTCAAAACCACTCAACTAGACAGCAACAAACATTTTATGTACCATTTTACCGTTTGAACCACACATGCAATAGCTGTATTCCAAGAATCTTAGGATAAGACAATAGTAACGTTGATCTTAAAATGTTTAACATCTCATTGCATCATTTTAAAACTCAATTACAGAATAATGTGCTTTAATGTTTTATTGTAGTTTAAGGTAGTATATATGTTTTATTGTCGCTCATTGTTTTTGTCGTTTTATACTCTAAAATTAACCCCTTTTAAACTTTAAATTTACCCCATTTTAAGCTATTATTCTTAGTTGCAATTTAGAATTCAGTACTTTATCTTATTTCATTTTAATTATTATTTAACGTTGTAGTTTGTACTTTAAATGGGCTTGCCCGTGAATAAATATAGAAAACGTAGAAAAAAATAATTAAATGACTTCACAATAACTTACATCGAGTTGTAACTGGATGTTAAATTCTAGAAATTCCTTAATATTTATGAGCAAACTATGAGGAAAAAACGTACTGTCATCAATGGCGTACATCTCGTAATGTTATACAGATTGGTACTGAAGAGGCAATAAGAGAAGTGTCTTATTCCGAAACATCGTATGTTCGCCATTGAGGATGTCAGTGTTCCACGTGAGTGAAATTTTTACCTCTATCATATTGTATAGCAATCTTGTGAATAATATCTGAATCAATTCTATACCGAATGTTTAGAGTACAAACTGAATAGGAAGAAGTGTTTTTTGTATAATTAATTGTTCATTTGAAGTAGTCGTTTCAAAAGTGTTTTTTTCATGTAATTCAATGTTTATATGAAAGTAGTTGTGTTGAGAGGCCTTTTTTTCAATTTGTGTCTAAAAGTTACTTCTTTACATGATCTAGGTACAGATCTTTGTAAAAAGTTTATTTCGAAATTAATTGCTATCTTCGTTACTTTGAAAGATAACTACATTTTTTGTATAATGATGGAAAAATAGAAAGCCAAAACATATTTCAAGACGTTTCGATTGCAAGGACGATTGTGGATACTAACAATCGAAACGTCGTGAAGTAACTTGGCTTGAAATATTTTAATTTTTATTTCTTCTTAAGTATTCAATTTTCAATTGTTGCTTGTATTTTGTTTTATTGTAATTTCAGTTCAGGGTTTTTTGCTTATTATAATTGTTATTTTCAGCTATTTTAAATTTTATTGATTCTTTCAGGGATTTCAGATCATTTTATATCATATTAGACAATGAAAGTCCAAACAATTGAAATTTACCATGAAAAACCGTAAACCACCTTCAAACAAATACATTGCAGTGAACGACAAGAGTAGGGGTAGTATTTCCAATGCTTGTGAAAAAAAAATTAACACATATGGTTCTTATGTGCTCTAGATGAAACTAAAATGTGATCCATGTTATTTTTAAATATGCCATAGTTTATATCAATGATACTAGTTTCTCGGCTAGATTTCCAAATGAAATATTTAAGGCTAGTCGTTTTTTTTTTCAAGAAAAGAGCGGATTGCCTTATTAAGAAGAACGACATTTGTGGATTGATGAACTCAAAACTTTTTAATCGAGGATCAATTTGATCTCTTGATTTGTAAAGGGAAAACGAGTTTCCCTATACAAAAGCTTTATCAAACATTTTCATACTGACTGCGGTTCTGTAAACTATCTAGATAAAAATCCCACAATCAAGTGTTACTTGATTGTGGGATTATGGTTAATTATGATAAGTTGCATATTATGTTTGAAAATAAAATACAAACTGAATTGAAAATTCAATCACCACAACTTCGACTCGCCCACACCATTTTCTTAGTGTTATTGTGTTTAATATTTATATTCGGGTATCCCCATGACGTCCTCTAACTCTTCCAATTATTCTGCTAGCCGTCTATATGAAGGAAACGACGGTATTATTTCGATGCTGAAATCAGATTAGCTCTGAGAATTATTGGCACGACACCAGTGACAGTTGCGTCTGTAGAAGTGAGCTTTCCGAGGATAAATGATTAAAATGGGTATTGAAAAAATTTGATTTTAATACAAAATTGGCTTTCAGCTCCTCTGTTCTATCAATTGAAAATGAAGTAGCGTTTTGATTAGATTGTATGGCTCCAATTAGAGATTCAAGTTTCAAGAAAAGTGTCCTATGTCATTTTTAATCCCTTCGTGGTATCTTCCAAGGCATTTATGTACCTCAGTTTTTTTTAATACCTACTCGTTAGATTTTGATGATGTAATTAGAGATTCCAGTCTTAAAAAAATCATCAACGTCATTTTTTTTTCGAATTTATGTAGTTTTTTTCAGAATAAATATAAAATCATCTCTTAGAACTTCACAGCAATATCTGCTTCATGAAGATTTGCCCAGTGCCTATGACTGGATAAGGACGCTACTGTTAGTCTTGAACCCTGAATTCACAATATACCCACAGGATTGTAATATTCCATGATTTATGGTGTTTTTTCAAGAATGTCAAGTGTGGAAATCAACAGATACTCCATACATCGAGTTTCTTTTGTGTCTTCTAACTTACATATTTACTGTTAAAACTCATTAAAATTTGAAGTTCTTAGAAAAAATATAACTTATTTTTACGCAACCAACTTTATGAACAGTAAATACGTTGAAAAAAAAGGTATAAGGAATAGAATAACAGTTTTCAGGATTCTTGATAGAAAAAAGACAAGAATGTTTAGAACATCCCATACAAGTTATTCATTAAGCCAAATTTGAACCAGATATTAACATGAGAAATAAAACTTTCTAGGTTTTTTTACCACTTTTTTTGGAATTCCGGCAGCTTTCGATGTATGCCTAGATTAGAGTTACTTACAGTTCAACGACATATTTTATAAACAGGATTCAGGTTTACCAATAGGCTCACCCCTCAGTCCTCTTTCAGCAGACATATTTATGAACAGCTTGGAGACCACTATAGTAATTCCGACCTGGGTAAAAACATATGTAGGTAGAAAGATATGTAGACGATATTCTCGCCTGTTTCAGAGGTACTACACGACAGCTGAATCAATTTACGATAAATCTTAATAGAAACATACTGTTCACACTCGGAAACTGAATTAGAGAAACAGATTAATTTCCTAGACCTGACCATTACACATAATCAGAATAAATTCGAGTTCAATGTATGTAGAAAACCTAGCAATACAGACATTACAATCCCAAATGATTCTTTCCATCCCGACAGTCATAAATTAACAGCCTACAAATCCGAAAGTATGGTTATATCTATACAGAGTAACCAGAAACGTCAACGACGCCCAAATAAAAAAGTTCATATCGAAAAAGCTTCACCTGGAGGAAACAGAAGGGGAAGAAAATGGTGATGTCACAGTTCAAGAGCTGCAAACAGATTCAAACCAACTGAAATGTTTCATGGTGGGGGCTAACTTTTCCCACAAAGAAAAATTATATACACCAGAATTTTGGCCCAGAGGAGTAGGTTTCAGGAGATTTGACTTCAGGCGCTATATGGATGCTCAAAGGAATAGCATGAATTTTTTATAGATAGCAAAAATATTGACAATGTTAACGAAACGAATGTAAACTTCATTTTATATGCAAAGTACCTATAAGAAGCAAGCAGAGTTTGCTGGCCAGCAACCAATGTTTTTGTCAGTAACAGACTCATGGTTGAAGGACTTTGAAGTAAGTAATTTTTCAATAATTTCTCTTTTCATTAAGGACCTCTATTATTCAGTTTATTCTAATTGTTCAAAAATGTCCTTATAGGACGAAACTGCAGTTACAATTGAAAGTAGTAAAAAACAGAAAGTTTTATATCATTTTTCATGATAATTTCCTACCCTTAGTAACGGCTACATCCATCAATTTATAGATATTTAAATCTTTAGAATTGGACAGCGGTCAACACAGACCATTAGTTGATCAGGGTTTTTAAAAAAAAATGTACTTGAGATTGCAAATTTGGGACTTTTAAGAAAACACATATTTTTCACATTTTATTCTTTACATTCACTGATGGTTTCATAATGTATAGACTTTTTATAGAATGAATCTGATACTTACATTCTGTAACAGATAGACAGAATTTCTTAATTATGTTATGCATTCAATGCATTTATGACAGGTCAAAAAGAGTACAGATGCACATTGCACTGAATACAAAGTAAAAAGATAGTATACAATTGTTAATGATCATTTGAAATAAAACCTAACTGCTAATTATAATAAAATATTATTGATACAGAATATAACATAGCAACATATATATAAAAAGTGAATAAATAATTCAGTGTAAGTACTATTCATATAATCCTTTGTTGATATTGTCTATTCTCTAGACTAGCTTCTTGACTATCAATAATTTTTTTAGATTTTCAAATGTTTTGACAAGTATGTATGCTGTCAGTGTTTTTGAAGTTTAATTTTGGGAAATGCTATTTTGCTGCAGAATTTTGTTGATTTTTGTTCTATCATATTCTGATGTATTTGCACAAGAAAACAATTTAATATTTAGGTACAGAAATAGAAATGAAAGATACTGTAAAAAACCCGATGACATGGATCCCTTTTATAGAAAAAATATCTGGGAAAATCCTTGGTATTTGCTTCTTTTCGTCATTTTGGGAATTATATTCCTACTGATGTTTTTAGGTAAGTAAGAGGTAGGAATGGTAAAACAAATCACAGAACTTAATTGGTGAAGCTGGAACCACTTTAGTGTAGAATGGATCAGGGGATGATTGCAGTAGTTATGTATGAATTATATTAATTATCAATTATCATGCGAGAAAAGTAAGTTAATCGAATGCATCACAAATAATTAAGATGTATTACCGAAATTGAAGCTTTTCATTGTCCTTAGACAATTTATTATAGCCCAATATTTTAACTTTCTAATTGAAACTATGTTGTAGGTATAATCAAGGGTCTTATTGGAATGTTCTGTTCGAGAAAAATGGCAGAGGTTGGTTTAGGAATGTTAGTAGATTTACCCAAACCACTAGATCACTACCAAGAGAAAGAATTTAGACATCTTCCTGTTCAATATGACATTGGAGGTTGGCCCATTGATCCTTATACTTACAAGAGAACAGTGAGAGTTTTACCAAAGTAAATTACTGCCTCTATGATCAGAACATTTTTATCAAACTTCATTTTTGCAGTAAAACTGTTTTTTGTCTCAATCTAATATTTTTCCTGGCCTACCCTCTTGCGTTGGTATTACAACTATGTAGTCTTTGTTGCTGTATAAGAAATTACAAAGAACAGAATGAAACAGGTTGTTTCAAGTCTGTGAATGTAATTAAGTTCAATGAGAGCCTAAAGAAAAAGGTATATAATAAAATTGTAATGTTACACTCTTAATATTGATCTCTAATCCATAGGGTGCCTACGAGTTTGCTGGCCAGAAACTTGATATGTATAAGGATGACGACAGAAAAGAAGAAGAAGATACAAATTATGTGATAAATATGATGAAGCAAAGTCAACTATCACTTCAGAAGGGTATATAAGTAATAAAAATGAAATATTCAAACGAATGTGTTTATTATGTACAAAATAGTATAGAAATTAATCAAGAGATTCTACAAAAAAGTTAAGAAACAATAATATGTTCAACAAAATGCAAAAGATAGCTAAGTAAGTTGTTTCTAGCCACACCTGGTACTTGGTTTCAAAAACTGGCAAGTTTGAAAACAAAATTTCATTTAATTTTTGAATGTCAGGTTAGTTTTTTAATTATTTTTATTGGGTTTACTACTTGTGTATTCCAGTTGAAATAACACTGTTACCCGTAAGATATTTTCATTCCCAATGGTGAATTAAAGTAGATTCGAGTAACTGCTATGTAGAATTTCAGTGCAGTTTTATGCTCTACTCCTAACATACTATACAGTATGTTAGCATAGCTCAAGACAATTCACTGATATTTTTTGGTAAAAAAATTAACAAAGTCAAAATATTTTTGTTTATGCATTTCAAAAATCACTCAAGTGAATTCAAAAATATAACTGTATGGATTCCAAAAAACATACAAAATAATAATACCGTCACAAATCCACCAATAATAAAAAAATCTAGTTTATACTGAAAAAAAAAGTTTTCTAGTTTTCGTTCATTCTCTGTATTAAAATGAACAAAATAAATAACTATTGGTGACAAAGCCATATTATAGTATGAGTATATTCACAAAGAGGTCAAAACATGTGTTTTTTTGATACTGAAAGTACAAGTGTAATGAATTTATTTTATAATATAGTCATTTATATTTTGCCAGATTTAGTCTTGGTAGATCAACTTATGCTATCAATAAATTAATGAGACATAATGCTTTAACAAATGATGAAAAATATTTTGAGTACATCTCAACAGTATATACCCATAAATCACATTAAGGTTACAAGAACCTGAAATGATATTCCCATCAAATTATTTTTTCACCAACGTCGACCCATTCCACCAAAACTAGAACCACCTCTGCCACCTCTACTTCCACCACCCCTAGCTCGGTCATTTTCTTTTCTTTTCTTCATCTCGTCAAACCTATCCGCCATCTGGTAGATTTCTTCAGGTACAAACTGATGGGAGATTATTTTTATTATTCACTCAAATGTAAGATACTATGCCTAGTGTTGATATATCGATAATGCTGATGTATATAAAAAGTCTTATATGAAAGTTAAAGGCACTTTTGAAAATAATTTTTCAGCACTATGAAGTGATTCAAAAATTGTATTAACAGCGTGGAAGACATTTTGAACATGTATGTAAGTGTATTTATTGATGTCTTTGTGTGCTATTTTCATTCAAATTGTTTATTCAGCACAGAGTCGGAAACCAAGACATCATTTCAATGTCAGAAAAATAAAATGGTTGCTCCATTTGAAATATGTATTTTTTTGTGATACAGCATAATGAACTATTTTCAAGAAACGAGACTTTTTTCTACTCTTGGAATTTGAAACTTATGCAAACTAAGGATCAATGTGACCTTACTTTTCAATATGTGATTCCAAGAACGTTGAAAAATTAGCATCATCGATATACTGAGTAAATACGCACCATTAGGGCACCTGGTATAAACTGAAAATAACTTACCTGATCAGCTTCCTCCAATATTTTAATGAGTTCCCTAGCTTGTGCCCAGTCAGCCCTTGTGAAATAGCTTATTGACTCACCCAATTTCCCAGCTCTACCTGTTCTGCCAACCCTGTGCACATACTCTTCTATATTCCTTGGGAAATCAAAATTCAGTACATGCCTATAACACAATTGAAAATCAGTAATTATGTTATTAACAAATAGATTAAAATAATTATTTTTAAATTTAAAATTAACCTACGTTATATCATCTATATCTAAGCCCCTTGATGCCACATCTGTTGCTACTAGTATTTGAACAGTACCATTGGCGATATCAACCAGGGCCTGTTCTCTATCACACTGATCCCTGTCACCATGAATGGCCTGACATTGAATACCAGACAGCGCAAACTCTGTAGAAAGATTGTCAGCTCGTGCTTTTTTACCACAAAATATAATGACTTTCTGATCTGGTCCTAGATTTCGAACAAACTCCATAACCTGAAAAACACAAATCAGTTCAAAAACTTGCTTTCAGGAATTTTTCTTCCTAACATACTGCATCCATTTTGACATCTTCGTTATCCTCCATCACCTGTATAACTTGTGTAACGGTATGGGTAGCTGCTAAATCCAAACTTCCAACATATACTTGAATAGGATCTTTCATATAGGATTGGGCAAGACGCCTAACACCCAAAGGCCAGGTAGCACTTGTCATAACAGTCTGTCTAGTTGGCCTTATGCAATACATGACTTTACGAATTTGAGGTTCAAACCCCATATCCAGCATTCGATCAGCCTCATCCAGTACCACATATGTGACGGTTTTCACATTCACAATTCCTGAAGAAAAAATGATGAAGTAACAGAAAGAGTAGTAATTTATTAAATTGTGTTTCGGTTAATATTCTATTTTAGTTACAAAAACTCAAGAAATATCAAATTAAAAAAAAATTCATTTTCATCAGACAATTAAATAAGTCATGTATTTTTATAACTTTCTCAAAGAGCTTTTTTTACTGGTAATCTCAACAGTAATTATTCTATGATACGAGACAATGAGTATTCCTCCATTTCACTATTAATCAATTCAAGTATTCAAAATCATTGATATCCATTCATTTATTTCTGTACCCACAAGATATTCCTTTTAATTGTCTTATTTTTATTTATTCATTTACAAAGGAAATATCCTTGTAGTTTAGAAATATTAGGGTTCAATTCAGTATGAAGATTAATTATCTTTTTATAATGTGTATAATCAAGTAACGGCCTTTTCAATCAGAAAAAAAATGAAAACAAAGTGTTTTCATCTGAAAAATAAAAAGTTGCTTTCAGTTTTCATGAAGACACAATCTATGTGGAAGACAGAAAACTCAAACCAAATATCAATGATAAACAAAAATCCTAAAGGCAGTGCATTGCACAGTCAAGCATCGACATCGAGATTCATCTCCTGTCTTTCACTGCAAGGCAAGTAGTTGGGCTTGGTTTCAATTCAATTTTCAAAGTCATTGTAATATAAAAGAAACAAAACAAGCCACGCACATCTTTCTATGATACCACATAAGGATGTGTTTAACATCTGAAGAAGTATCACTTCCGACTAGCTGGGTTACCATTTGAATAGTACAGAATTCAATCGTCTGAAACCAAACTCAAGTATGCATCTGAAGTAAAAATACAGCTGATATCAATGCTAAGAATAGAGCTATTAAATGCTAAACAAATTGAGCCTCAAAATATTTGTATCTTTTTTTTAATTGTTCTAGACACCAACCTAAAATAACATATCCCACTGCCATGGGCATAACAATTTTGTAAGCAGCATGCTTATTGTAATGTAGAACATATTAAAGCGATGCATATTTCACTAGTGACCTTCTGAATAACTTATCAACACTTCATTTATGTGGAATAACACCTACCAATTAATCATTTTCGAGCAAACTCCAACACCAACTAAAGTAATTTTTCTTATAAATAAAACCACCTCTAAACCTACAAAGGATATTGATGACATGAACGGAAAAATTGTGAGAGACGTTGCGAGATATTGTCTTATTTAATATATGAATCTTTTCCAAGAGGTCAATTTCTTAATATAAAAGTGTCCAAAGGATTTCCAGCCTACAAAAATATGGGTTTGGTAAAATATAGCAAATTATCGTTTGATCTGCAAACCCAGCCATATATTGCTAAGATTCTGTACTTGTCACATCAGGAGTTCCACAGGGATCTCTTTTGGGTCCTTTGTTATTTAATATCTTTATTAATGATATTGGTACCATTCTCAGAAATTGTAAATTTCTCCTTTTTGCTGATGATTTAAAATTATATACAAACATTACAAAACCAAGTGATTGTTACAAACTACAGGAAGACCTTAATTCCTTGGGAAAAATGAGACTGTCACTAAACAGTTTTACAAAAACGCAGAACGTCTTTTGCTACACAATAGTTTCTTTAGGAGTGTCTATACTAACTAAAATCTACATATTCAATGCTTTATATATATTTTACTATTTGAAGTAGCTGAATATTAAGTACCTGTGTTTTACCTACACAATTAATATTAAAAACGTATACCAGAATTTGATATGAATCGATCAACATCAACATAAGAGAGTACAAACTCATTCAAATAAACATGTAGTGAATGAAATTATGAGCTCATGTATCAGTTAATTACCAGTTTCCACATTTGAAAAAATATTCAGTAAAGGGGCGTTATTTAATTCTGTTTGGTCAAAATACTCTTACACATACTTGTGACGCCCAAAGATGCTATCGTATAGCAAAGCACATGTCGTAGTTTTGTAAACTATAAAGTGGAAATCTCACAATTGAAATACAATTGATAATTTTTGAACTCCTGATCAAAAATACTAATAGATCTGAAAATACACACCACTAGTATCCTATTGTAATACAGTTATTTTTCACTATTAGTGTTAATAAAATTGAACTTGATACTTGATGAAAATCCATATTAAAAAACTAATCAATACAGTTTATTGTATGATTTTCACTATAAAAGGGTTTTACAAAAACCGGGACACGTGTTTCGCTATACAATAGCTTCCTCAAGCATAAACTAAACCGTGAAATCCTTTTATAGAGAAAATCATACAATAAACTGTATTGATTAGTTTTGTTAATAAAATTGTCAAAAATATCAAAACTTAAGTAGGATTTTAAGGATTCAACAACATTCTGAAAATTGTTTCACAAACCTGATTCATGGAAATCATTTAACCTTCCAGGAGTAGCGATGATTATATCTACCCCTCGAGTAACTGCAGCAACCTGTTCTTTCCTATTACCTCCTCCATAAACACATACCCTTTAAAAAAAAAAGAATGATTAATATACCTTCTATTACTATAACTTAGTGTACTCACGAATTGATACCTCTGTACTGATATTTCTTGATTTCTTTGTCAATTTGAAGGGCTAGTTCTCTTGTTGGAGCCATTATCAGTACTGCCGGCCCTCCTCTATCTTCTCTACTAACATTTTGTCCTTCTAAATGGATCATCGCTGGTAATAAAAATGCTAACGTTTTCCCTGTACCTGTCTGGGCTATACCAATCAAATCTTCACCACTTAAAAGTACTGGCCATGCTTGTGCTTGTATTGGAGACGGAGTTTCAAAACCTGCCTTCTCGATTTCTCTAAGAATTTCCGGATATTCGTGGAATGCATGAACAAACTTAGGGCATGGTTTTGGAATGGGAGCACTATTTTCGGTTTTGAAAGTTCTGTCAACCACAATATTATTGTTCTCTTCACGGAACTTTTCCACTTGTGATTCTGACATCTTCATTACTTCCGGATGTTCTTTGTAGAACTGTTTTCTGATTGGAGGATATTTTGCCCATTCAGCTGCTTCAGCTTCATCACATTCCTGCATGAATTTTGCCCAGTCAAGAATAGGCTGTTTCTTCTCTACTGTTTCTTGAGGAAGGTCTTTAGCATGGACTATCTTAATAGAATCAGTGGTTAACTCTTCGATGAGTTCCTTAGCTTTAGATATTGTGCTATCATTTCCAAAAATTTTAACTAGTGTTGTTTCACCATTACTTTCTTGGGTTACTTGAATGCTTGCTCCAGATTCAGATTGTAATTCTTGAATTTTTGCTCCTGCACGACCTAAAAAAATCAATTATTGATTGAACATATGTTCTACATCTGTTGAAATGTGAAAGGTTTTCTTCACACATTATTTCCTAGTGAAAAAAGATAAATGATTATCTGGTCATTATAAATGAATAATTCTCACTCATATATTTCTGGATACTAAGCTACCAACTAATAAAATTGAATCTACAAACATGTTCATGGTTTATGAATTAGTAAGATAAATAACTTTCAATGATTTAACTAATTATAAGAAAATTAAGTTTATTCAGTGACTTTTGAATTCAATACTTAGAAAAATTATCAACTGAAAAGTGGAAAATGTTTTTTTGCATATATGTTTCACCTATTTCAATAAGATTCATTCTCAATTTTCTGTTAGTTCAATTCTTAAATTATATAAATCTGTATGAATTGATAATAACTTTGGTTTCTCAGATGTTACCTTCAAATTAGGTATTACTGTCAGAACATATTTTTCTGGACAGCCTTGATCCATCTTGAATCACAATACTTTTTCATATTGTAGAACTTTTTTCTCGCAACTTTAATTTCGTTCCACTTGCCGGTTCGATTGACTGGAAACAACGTTTGTCTATGTCAAAAACCATTAATTTGATAATCAGATCTTAGTTTCTTAAATTTTGACTACTCAAGATTTTTATTATGCAACATAACATGTAATGGGTGAAAAATGAAAATTGATGTAACAGTCATGAATCCCAGGTCATTGAAAAATGTTAGGCATGTATCACGGTATCCCGTTTATACATTATTCCTAGATGTGTGGTTATCATAATTTTGAATGCCAGATCATTTTCCAGGGCCTTCACAATTTTGAAACTCATTAATTCTATTCTCTCGGTCATGTGCTCAACCATCTTCCTCAATAGTGTGTTCTCATTCTGTAGTTCACGGAATAGTGATATTCAACACTTATCACTACCAAAAATGATCTCTACCAACAAATTGGATATATTCAAATCTTCCCTCTCCGATAGTATTTTGGAACACTCACATGACGAAATCGTATAATTTTCATCATTTGAAACACAAATTCCATATTTGACATGCAGAGGAATTTGACACAAATCAGCACTACTAATTTTACCACAATTATTAATTGTTTCTTTGAGAGCAATTACCGAAACCTACTCTCTTGACGCCATATCTCCCAAAAATATGAATTGGTCTTGATCAACACTTTGAACAGTAAACCAGTCATAGTTCACAAAAAAATGTGAAGGTGAATGCTTCAAAAGAAAAGAAACTTCTATAAAAAATAAACTGGGAATCCTGACAGTTGGACTGCAGCAGCCACACACGGCTCAGAGTTCTGCTTTTACTAATTTGATACATTCCAGAAAATATCCACCCTTTTAAATGTACAAACATATACAATGTGTTTTGAAGTATATAGTGAAGTTACAGGAAACTCAGTAGAAGTGTTGCATATCAAAGTTGGAGTTTTTAAATGCAATGACATATTGTTTTCCATATTCGGTTTCTGTCAAAAAAAATTATTTTGGAAAATGTTTGATTGTATATAGCCGTTCAAAAGTTATAGGACAAAAAGCTAATATATTCAACAGTCCCTATTTTCAATGAAAACCCATTTGAAATGTACGGTTCGGAAGATGTTTTGAAAATACTGAGTGCATCAAAACTTAAAAATAAATTTTTTCTTGATTTCGTAATATGAAACACCCTATATTTCATTTAACATTTGGTTTTCCGGAAAAAGATCTTTCTAAAAATATGAGGTTGTATGGGTAAATATCTGACGCTTCGAAAGTTATAACAAAAATATTTTAAAAAAATATATTATTTTTAACATTGAACTTCCTCAGCAAAAACTTCAACTCAATTTTGATAAAGTAAAGACTATTATTGAATACAAAAAAAGTTATAAAATGTATTGAAAACCCTGACAGGAAAATAATCTACAATCGAATACCAAAAATTTTGGGCTCAGTTTACCTATAAAATTACAAAGTGCAAATAAAGTATTGAATGACATAACGTTTCAAAAAAAACATCTTATGTTACATTAGTTACATAACGCACAACATCAGTCTGTCTGGCTTCCCTTTCTTCCCACTCAAACCCACAGGGCTGGCTAACCGTATTTCGGACAGACATTTCTCTCTCCTCTTTTCGCATGACTCATTGTTCAGAGTGCGATCGACATATACTGTTGACAGTAAGCATATAACCTCAAATTAACACCGCATTTGAAAGGGATTATAAAAGCAGAAGATAATCCTTGGAACATTACAGTTTTTTTGGTGTCACTTACTCAAACCACTAGGCATATACTCGTGTAACTCCATATTTAAAAAAATAACTTTTCAGAAGGAAATAAATTGTATTCTATTTTTGATTCACCCAGTATTAGAAAATAAAAGCTTTTGATCAAATGATTACTTGATAATGAAAAACTACATTTTCTAAACATTTTCATAATAAAACAGACCTTTCAAATGAATCTTCGCAACCTGTTATCAGGTATAGAACAAATTATTTACTTAATAATTTCTTGTTAATTTCATCAAGACATCAACTCTTATATTATACAGAATCTGTTAAATACTCATTGATACAATAACAAAAAAAATGCATTAACCGAAACGACCCCTCTTTATTTCAATTAACATGAGCTTGGCTGTAGAATAAAAAGCTTCGTCAATCAAAAGTTTTTCCATACTGATTTCCTTCACCAACATGTCTCTAATGCAAGTTGTTAATTTATTAATTAAATTGGATACTCATATAAAAGGGGCTTGATTTAGATCCAGACAGTCTGTGGATTGACATTCCCAGCAAAGTTGACTTTCTAGTATTATAATTTTTTTTATTATATGGTGCAAATAATTGTTTGTCTGATAAATCTGGTACTTATGAATACAAAGAAAAGTGAAACTTTTTAGTTATTTAACAGATTTCTGTAGCTAGTGTCTCTACAAACTCTTGGCAGCATCTATTTAACTGTTTAAACTTTTTGCAGACAGGGGTCCGCCACTTCTTTTAAGACTATTGTTCACAACAGTGAGTTACAATTATTGTACAATAACAAGAGGAGAACGAAAAAAAAAACACAAATTTTTCAATTCCAATCTAAAATTGTCCAAATGTTAACATCAGATATGTTGTCAATGGCGTCATCAGATATGTTGTTAATGCTAATATGAACATTTCATAGTGTATAATGTAATCGATGATTTAAAATTGTAACTTATCATTTTGTATGAACTATAATTCCTGGTATTACAATAATAATAATAAGTATTTATTGTGTCATAAAATACAAAATTACACAAAAAAGGACCAAGTACATTTAAAATAATGTCAACCCAGAACAAAAACAGGTAAAAAACATATGATACAAACAAACTGATAGGACTGAAATATGCTAAAATTTATTGAATTCAGATGCCCATGTAGGATAACCTCTTTCGAGATTTTTCTCCAGAGTTGGAGCAGATAAGGTACTAAATAAGAAAAAGATCTCTCGAAAAATGAAGAACTGTGGACAGGAATAGAAAACTTGTCATTTTTATTCCTCAGTGATTTTCCTTTGAACTATTTTTGAGGCAAGGTACTTGGGTATAGTAGAAACATTTTCGGAAATGCAAGAAATGTCAGAAAAGCAATCTTCGATATAGATATGTAGAAATAAATTAGAACCCTATATGTTTTATTTATAAAATTAAACATTTTATACTAGTCAATTACTCAAAATTGTTACTTGAAGTAAATTTAATGTCGTGACTTCATCCATGGGATCATTTCTATCTATCAGACCATTTCTGTTTTCACACTGGTCTGTTATATGCTTTCTCAACTATCAGAATACTTATGAATAAGAAAATATTATGAAACATACCAATAATTTTTCCAACAAAACTGCATTTAACCCTTAGTTCTTCACATTTGTCTCCAGCTCGTCCGTTTCTTCGATCAGACCTACCTTCTCTGGAATTACCTCTGAAATTTCCTCTACCCCTACTATATTGTTTGGACCTCTGATAGTAAGGTCTATCATTATTAGATGTGCTGCCAGACCAAACTTCGTCATTATTTCCGGGTCGTCGAAATGATGGAATAACAGTAGCTACCACAGGAGCATCATCATCCCAATTCTCACACATTATTTTTACAAATTTCAGTAATCGAAAAGGTTTTTACTACTTTTCAAGGATGCCGGGTAATTAAATGAAAAGGACAAAAATCACTTATTAATGTCCGGTCCGATGATTAAAAGTGTCAAAGGCTTTTTTTTCAATTTTTTAGTACTAGAAGCTATTGTGCACGAGTAACATGAAAAATGAAAATAACTATAACGAGAAACATCGACCTATAACCACTCATCTACTCAACTATTTCGATTCCATTTTCTTCTTCTTCTTATTCATCTATGTCATATGGTATCCAGTGTTGCTACTACGACGGAATTCCAAATAGTAGGAAACCAACCTTACAATTGTACAACTTTTGAGAAAAATGTACCGCAGGGTTAGTTACTAATGAGTTACACGCAAAACTAATAAACTTATATTTTTATAAGTTCTCTCAATTGAAACATAAGCTACTATATTGTGTGGAGATTTCAAC